GGGAATAATCTAGAACTAGTAGTATTTGCTCGCAGCGTCGGACGTCGTCACATGTAGATTCAAGGCCGCGCGCGCTAACGGACCTTGGCGCACAGTATAACTAAATCGCTCTTCTCTCTCTCTCTCGCTGCTCTCTCTCTTCTCTCTCTCTCTCTCTCGCTCTCTCTCTCTCTCTCTCCTCACTCTCTCTCTCTCTCCCTCTCTCTCGTCTCTCTCTCTCTCTCTGCTCTTTCTCGCTCTCGCTCTCTCGCTCTCTCTCTCTCTCTCTCTCTCGCTCTCTTCTCTCTCGTCTCCTCCTCTCTCTCTCTCTCTCTCTCTCGCTCTTTCTCTCTCTCGCTTCTCTCTCTCTCTCTCTCTCTATATATATTATATAGATATGTATATAGTAGATAGTGAGCTATAGATGTGATCTACTTTTGATGTACATACTTAGGAAAAGATACGAGTATATGTAAATAAATAAATAAATAAGATAAATAAATATATTATATATAGCGCTATATAACATATATATATAAAGATATATAGTATATCATATATATATATATATATATAGCCTATATATATTTATGGATTTATTTATTGATTTATTTAATTACATAGATCGTATAGTTTTTCTACGTATCGTACATAAAAAGTATTGGACATGGTATGCTCGGAATCTGCTATCTATGGTGTTCGCCTCGCTCGTTGAGTATGCTGCGGTGGGAGTACATCAGCAAGGCGTCCGCTAACGCGACGAAAGACACAGGCGGCCGCCATGGCAAAGAAGAAGTCGTGCGTACGGACATCCACCGTCGGCCTACCAAACGCCCATCACGCGGAACCGCAGCAAATATCTGGACGGAGTGTGGCTGCAAGTAAGTATAGGCGTAGGTATAGTGGGCACGTCGGTCGAGCTCTTACGTCGATATTTATTCGAGAATTGGTCGCTCGCAAATGAACGATATCGCATATTATATATATATATATACTATATTATATATAATATAGAGTGTGTGTGTGGTGCTGTGTGTGTGTGTGTTGTGGACCTCGTGTGTGTCGTGTGTGTTGTATGGCGCAGAGTGGGTGTAGCGTCCATTGTGTGTGTGGTGGTCTGTGGTGTGCGTGTGTGCGCGCGCGAGTGCGCAGTGCGTGTGTGCTTGACCTGGTGTATGTGTGTGTGTGTGTGTGCAGTGTGTGTGTATGTGTGTGTGCGTGTGTGCGTGTGCGCCGTATTTTTTCCTCGTGACCTCTTTTTCGATGCTACATACGAACAGTGAGAGAACCGTCTGACTATACCGTAAACTCCAATGTCATTAATCGTCCATATAATTATAATATTCAGTCTATTAGTCGCATTTCAGTCATATTTAATCGCAAAATTTCATAAACCTCAGCTGCAATTGCGCGTTCGCAATGTGCACATTGATTTTGATATCGTCTACACTAAGGGTAATGTAAAAATCGCGACGTCGATGGAAAATTACCCGTATATGGATCACAAATGCACACACGCCCTCACAATGATGTTGTGCAAGCTGCAAGTGACGTCATATCGAAAACCTATATCGTATACTGCTTTATATACTGTATACTACGTTGTAGTTGCGTGCCTATAATCTTCCCCAACTTTTTAGTTGCTGCTATATATATATATATATTATATATAATATATTGCATTCTTCCGTCACCATTTCTAATATTCAATGCATTTTCCACCGTCCCCGTGGCGTGAAACAAGCCGGTCTAAGCAATATTGGAACTCATACCAAAATACCACTACTATATAAACTACCGATTACGAACTGAACTTGGCATCAATTTTTTCAGAATTTTTGTATCGGTTTCTAACGAGATTAACAGCATTAAAATATAGTTTTAAAATAAAGTTTACTGCCATGTTGTATTGCGCCCACGCAATATTTAAATTAGCGTTGGTCACGTCAATATACGGTCACGTGACGGGCGAACGATGTCAATTACCCACGGGTCGTCATTCACTAAAAATTAGCTCGTGACATGTTTACGTAACTTACAAATCTTCTCGAAATTAAATTTACATAATAAATTCATTTAGCCACGCGACGTATATTCAAGTATGCATTTGAGAGATGCGAACGGAAAATACGGCGATGGGATGGCATTTGCATAACAACGAAATCGTTGCATAATTTTGGCCCACCCTCGGGAAGAGTAAGAAGAACGACGAGACGATAAAGGTCCGGCTAGCATTTCGCTCCTGTTCGTATCAAACGCCGATATCCTTCGAATGAAAATGACTGCAAACTGAAACACAAGACACTGAGGCTTTACTGTTAAACTAGCCGCATACAAATATCTATTAGCGCATGAGAGAGAGAGATTGCGGTCTCTGTACGGGCTTTGCTGTCTATAATACACCAGCTGTGTATACGCGTTACGTGTTTCATAGAAATATATAGGAACAATATAGGGACATATATGGACATATAGGGACATAAAGGACATATAGAAACACACACACACACACACACACACACACACACACACACACACACACACACACACACACACACACACACACACACACATATATATATATATATATATATATATATATATATA